GTGTTGGCTAATATAATTCTACCAATATGAAGCTTAAAATATGTTTAGGCCAGTTGACGAGAAAGCCTACGGTCAAAGCTCTATTTCCATTGGTAAGAAAAAGATTGGAAGAAATCTCAACATATGTTGCTTTTTGTTCTAACGACCCCATGGAATTCCCTCAGCTCTGACATTGTTATATGTCATGATTGAAATTCAAGTTTGCAGAAGGGACAGATGGCAACCTTGATTGTAATTTTTTAAAAATTAAAATATAGTCATTGCAAACTGTGGCAACTGAGGAAATTAAACCAAAAGTGTTTAATAAATGCAAGGTAGGCTCAAAATAAAAGCTCTCTGCCCGTGGGTATGAATTGCTTTCCATGCTCCTAAAAAGCCTTCTGTGTTTTCAAAGACATGACAACAAAGGGGTGGTCACTAGGTCCTCCCCACCCCCACATTTTTGGTGACACACTACATCTAGCAAACTATGCCTCTTGTCAGCAGTAAAATGACCTTAGACAAAGCCCACCACTGATGGATCAGGATTAATGCTCTGCTCTTAGAGCAAGAATATCTTTCAGTATCATTGAGTGACTTTAATACTCAAACTTCTAGTTTCAACAAACTGAAGTCACAACTTGCCACAAAACAGGTAGCAACTGAACAGAGCACTGTGCAGACTTTCCCACAGTTCTTCACCAGTGTGTCAGGTTGTGACCCTGGAGGGTAAGGGCAAGGGTGGAAATTAGCCATTGAACTCACTCTATTAATCTATGGTGTAGGGTTGGAGATTCCCAGAGAAGATGACTACTGGAGTCCATCCTGTTATCTCTTTTATTATTGTAAAAATGGGTTTATTAAAGGAAGAATGAAGTGATGGAATATGTGCTTTGAAGTCTATTGCCAATTCAGCTTTATGATAAGGGGTAAAAGAATCACTGGTTGTAATTCACTTGGGAGATTCATTTTCTTATTAAATCTGTAAGGAAAAAGAAATGACTTTTAGCATTTAGCTAGATTATGGAAAACTATCCAAGCATACTGGTTTAAAGTGTCTGTTTTATGCGTTATGCAATTCATTTGTAGGTTTATATGTTATAGAGACATTATCAAAGACATATGTGAATCGATTTAAATGAGATATTCCTGATTACAAATTGTTATAAAGTTCACTTTTGTGATGGTTCTTCACTTTTAAAAAAGCTGGTGACAAAGATGCCCAATCATTGCAGATCACAAGGGTCCACTCCACCGGGAAAGCTCTGCTTCCTTTTCCTGTTCCCATCTCAGGATTATAAAATTATGTGCTTCCTTCTCTCTGCTCCCTCTGCACTCTTCACTTACCTTTATTACAGTCCTTGCAATCCTGCATAATAATTATGTATTTACATGTCTATCATGTCTACTAAATTGTGCATGCCTTGAGAGCTCGACTATGTCTTAATCATACTTACAATTCTGGAGTGAGCAGACCAGGCACTCAATAAGTAATGAATGCTTCAGAGGGCATTCCCACTTCCCTTTAGAAAATTGTCAACATTGGAAATTGCCATGTTCTCAGGGAAGGCTGGATTCTCTTCTAGCTGTCATTGCAGCTAAAGCAATCAACACCATGTCTACCACGCAGCACTACTAAAATGTCTGTCTTCCATCAATTCCAAATTCCTCAATTGGTTACATTTCTAAGGAAAGAGATAGGTATTTTTGTCACCAAAGTAGTAGAAGTGAAGAAAGAGACTATTGGTACCCCACAGGTCTGCCTTGGGCTTAGGAAAAAAAGTGAGAATAACAATATAATAGAGTATATAATCTATACGTTAAAATTTTTGTTTAGTGAAAAATTATTGAGGAAAAACATGTACTTTGCAGAATAGTGTGTGTCTATTGGGCATCAGTTACCCTGTCCCAGAGGCCAGCCACTCCGGCGTGCTCAGCAAGCAGAGAACTGTACTGCATAGCCAAAACAGATGATGAAAAGATGAAAGGAGTGGATGATGAATATATGAGTGATGATTTGGTTTACCTCTAGTGTTTCTCTGGTTGTTTCTACTTGCATAGGTGGCAAATAATCAAGCCTGAAAAGCTAAGGAACAGAGAAGTCAGTATTTTCAAGCAACAAAATATCAAGGCAAGCTAGCACGCTGCTTACAGTTACTTCTTTAAAAGTAAACTCTAATGTGTGCTTCAATTCTGACTTGATGGAATTTGATGTGGTACTTTGCTATTGCTGCTGATGGTGGTTTGTAATTGCCTTGATCGCTCGGTCAGAAGGGTCCTTTTTAAGTTAGTGAAGACTAATAGTGTTCAAAGACAGTGTTGCATCAATTTCTTATACTGAAAAAAGATACCTTTTTAGAAAAAATGAGTAAAATTCAATAAACTTTCTTTTATCTATTTTATTACTTCTTTTTTTGAAGTTACAATATAATTGCATAGTTTTTCCCTTTCTCCAAACACTTGCATATACCCATCAGCCCTCTTTCAAATTCATGACCTCTTTTTTTTCATTAATTGTTATTACATGCATATATTCCTTAAAACAGCCTATCAGTGTGGACAGTGTTTCTCAGATGAATGTCTTCAGGGATACAGCCAATTGGTCCTCAGGGAAGACTAGACCTCTCACTCTCAATGTTCCTCCGTTGTGCGTAGTTATTTAAACAAACTTTCTTCTCTTGTCTTTGTCAGAGTCTAGAGATAAAGAGACTAGAAATAAGGCTCGTATCTTACTGTTTTTTTCTACCCACAATCCCACATAAAATGTGGCTAAGTTCAGTTAACTGTTTTGCCGTTGCTGGTAATGTAAGACGTGTTAGAGTGCTCAGTATTCTAAATGTGATGCTTCTGCTCTCAAAGGATTCTAAGAATTCAGTCACCTATTACCACCTGAAGTTTGGGACTGGCTGTCGCTGATCTCCCGAGCGTTCCCATTGCCCCCTCTACCTTACTCTTCAGACAGCCATCGGTTCAGATCACTCCTTACCTCAAACTCCTCCAAAGCATCGAGTCCCACAAGAGTGAGAGCCAGGGTCTTCAGAGGCCCACTGCTTTCCGTGCCATCTAGCACACACGTTCCCTATCTATTTCCTCAGTCATTCTGGCTTCCTGGATATTTCTAGCAAACCAGACAGCCACTTCTCTGGCCTTTTCTGGGTCTGTTCTTCCAGGCAAACTACAGCTCACTCTGGTACCTCTTTCGTTACTTTGTCTCTGTGTTATCTGTTTGCAGAGAGACATGATCTCCGGTCTTTGAAGATTCTGTGCAGAGAGCATTCCACATCATGTTTCCCATCATTAAATCCCACCATCATATTTATCACTTGAAACACACTGGAGTGCAGTCATCTTCTTCAGTCCAAAACGGGGGTTATTTTAATTGTTGTATACATTGCTATTTCTCTAGCATGTGCAATACTGGCTGTGATAAAAAAATGAAGAGTTTTCAAAATTATAAAACTTTTCACATATCTGTAATCTGCTGATTATTAAGGCGTGGCAATTTTATTGAAGTAAATCTTGCGTAGAGGCTTGCACGTAAATATTTTCCAAAAGCTATTTGTGCCTGCATATGTGTGCTAGTTTCAGAACTCTATGGAAGAAAATTAAGTTATTAAAGTCCCAAGTGAAACCAATTCCACGGTCTTTTAATGAACAAGATATTTTCAGCACTGTCTTCCGTGGTGTGTAGGCGCTGGAAACGAGGACAGTAAAGGGTAGAACCAGAACCCATAAAGCCGGCCAGGACAAAGCATACAGTTGTCTTTCACCAGTCATGAGAGATGACCAGTTCTCTAGTCTTTCCTTAGAAGACTCCTCAAGACCCAAACTGAGGAGACTACCATAATGTTAAATTGTGCAATTATTACATGAGAATATCAAATTAACGCATGCGTACTAAACCTTTGTCAATATAAAATTCATAAACTAAAAGTGAGTTGATGCATGTACTGCTCATCTAAGTATCGTCCTGTGACAAATAAATATACTAGTGTGTGGAAAGACACAGCTAATAAATTCCTTCCTATTAAAGTCTAATTGAACATCTCAGATGATATTTAAGGTTTCGCACCAGTGTAAACTACTGTGGCTACAATTCACAATGCCTTTAAAACAATTGTTCTTTATCATTAAAGTTAATAATATGCACATTAACCTCTTATGTAGTCTAAATCAATATTGTAGTTTAAAAGATATGACCTCTCAACAGCTTTGTCTAAATATTGATTCCATTGCCATTTGTATAAGATATCAAACAAATCACATGCTGCAACAACACCACTCACACTATTCTCACAGAGCCTCTGGCTCTGTGAATTCTTAAAAAACGAGACATGGTATGACAAAGAAATCGAGACATTCCAAAATGTAACTATGGAATGGATGATTGGAGAATGGCAGAGCAGAGTCACTTTGGATAGATAATGTCCAGTCCTTTATTTACAACATTAAGAACAAAAAGTGCTGCTCTATAGCATGCAGACAGCTTGTTGATCTTAAGATCCAAACATCAGACTTATTCAGTATCCTGTACCTTTTCATGAATCCCATGAAAGTAACTCAACCATAGTGAGATTGAAGTGTTGTCAGCTGGCAATATAGCCATTTTCTTGCATCCAACTTATTTGGAAGTCCTCATGGTGAGTTACTAGTGGATCAGATAGGTTGAGAAGCATATCTGTAAGATTAAAGTGATTGAATAGTTCAAATGTTCACAATAGGACCAAAGAACTAATAGTGGGCACACTGTACTTTCCCATAACAGCTGTAGTAGCATTTCTGCTAAGAATTACAGCCTATCAAAAGTCAAGCTGTACACTTTGGTCTCAAGTTCTAAGTCACTATAAATCATAGCAATGGCTAATATCCAGTTACATCTGTTTTGATGAGATTTGTTTTTAGTTTGTTTTTTCATTTGTTGTTTGTTATATAACTCTTTGGAGAGGACTGTGATCACAAAGGATTACACCATCAGTGCAGGTGCTGTGTGTGCTGAAAACGTTCTCTGAAATCTTCCGTAGGCAAAAGTGATCCATTTTGTGTAGTAGAACTGAACAACGATAGACTGCTAACCCACACTGTCTACAAAAACCTCAATCCTGAGTGGAACAAAGTGTTCACATTGTAAGTACAACAACCACCTGGTGCTTATTTTAGAATTGGTACGAAAATATAGTTCATCCTGAGACTGTGTGTGTATGTGTGTGGTGTGTGTACACACGTGTGCATGCAGGTGCATACTCTACTTCACACATCTGCTCCTCTGCCTTTGCTAACTACGGATTTCCGAACCCCTACCTGCTCAAGAGTGAAACTTGGGAAAACGGGTATGTCCTTTTTCTTTGTTTTCACTAGACTTTTTTTCCCACTGCCTTTCATATGGCCTGACTAAGAGCTTGCTCCCATCACTGAATCTGCACACTGCTTCTTCCTTTTGTGCTTTCTATTCAAATCCTTCCTGATTGCGTGGACACCAAAGAAGGACAAAGCTCTATTTGTCCCATCACTGAAGTCAGCAAACAATCCAGTCGGGTTTGGCAGATGCCTATTTTGGGCTTGCTTCATTTTAGCACAATAAGGACAGTAAGCATTGTCCTGAATCTCAAAACAACCTTTGAGTTAATTTTACTTTTGTTTTAAAAAGTTTGAAATATCTTACACTATGCACAGTAAAAGCTGGGCATGCTGCATTATAGTGGCCTACAAGTCCCTTTTTAAAAATGGGACTGCAGAGAATAGACTCCACAAAGAAAACTCTCAGAACAGAAGTACTTCACAGTTTTCTAACATGGTTTTATTTCTTGGACATAAAAAACTGCTAAATTCCTCATTAATTCCTTCTAATGTCTCTGCTTAAGAGCCAGTAACTAATCAGCTTTAATTATCTGACCAATTTATTTTTAAGGAATTCCACATTTTTATAAGAGATGAAAGCCTCGTCAGGAGGCTTGCACTCCTAAGAGGGCCATGGAGAGTGTTTTCTCTAGAATGCATATAATTGAGTGAATAGGTTTGATTATTATCAAAGCGATTAATTGATTGTACCCTGGTAAAGCCTCTTTTCACGTGCAGTTATGGTGTTTCTGTAATGAATATATTCTTTTTTGTTTTCTCTTAATTCATATTTTCTCAGTAAACAATTTGATCAAAAAATTAATGCTATCAACAATTGAGACTTATTTTCCTTGAAACAAAAAATATGAAGAACTCACACAGTCCTTTATTGTCATGTGTTGTCTTTAGAACTTACTGGAATTTAACTTTTCTTCTAAATCCAAGAATAATACTATACTTATAAATGCTACATTTTCTCTATTCTGTCTTCTTTTTGCTTGGAACCTAACAGAAACTTAGTAAGTGCATTAGTAAGAACTTCAAAAAATAGACATGCCATAGTATTGTAAAAATAGTAAGTGTTCAAAAATCTATTGTGACTCCCACTGATAGCAAACCTGTGACATTTTACTTAGGAGTTATATGATTTTATGTTATTTTATTATAATGAGAAGAGACAGAAAGCCTAAAGATTACCAGAAGTATTTAGTGATTTTTTCCAGTAATTTATACTTTGCATATCCAGATCAAAAATGATATGTATTAAGGAAATAACTGAAAGTTACAGTAGTCTTCAAAGTTCCATATGTTATTACCCTTTGGTATTGCCATCTTAGATGTATCATGAGAAATAATTACCTGCTCCCGCCCTGCCCTGCATGTGTATGTCTGCGTGCAAATAATACCCGTAGAAATAAAGACACAGAAAAACAGCTAGTACAATCTGAGGTTTCAAAACCCATCTAGCTTGGCTTTGCACTGATGGGGTCTTTCTTCCCTGGGTATGTTTATTACGCAGCAACATTAAAGACATCCATTCAGTCCTGGAAGTGACAGTTTATGACGAAGACCGTGACCGGAGTGCCGACTTTCTGGGCAGAGTTGCTATACCATTGCTGTCTGTAAGTTTTATTCACCTGGCACACTGTTCTGTGTTGCTTTTGCTCAAGGAAAAAAAACTCAGCTCTATGTCTGTCATTTCTCAACCAAAGTCTGTAATAAGAACACTAAAAATTTTAACATACTCAATGCACGGCCATGTTGAATCCCATGATAGTTAATTTTTCTTGACAGACTTGATCCTGGTAATGAACAGGTACTTGTCAGAATTGCCACAGTTGTTTTGGGTTCTCTGTCAGTTTCAGCAGCTGGGGGTCAAAGGTCACTGGGGGAGTGTATTCAGTGGAGACCGCGAGACAGACGGCTGTCATGTCCTTTTCCCGCAGATTCAAAATGGTGAACAGAAAGCCTACGTCCTGAAAAACAAGCAGCTGACAGGGCCAACAAAGGGGGTCATCTATCTTGAAATAGATGTGATTTTTAATGCTGTAAGTCTTAACTTTGGCTTTTTTGTACTGCTAAAGAGTTCAGTTTCATGAAAGCTTTTGTTCCTGATTTGTAGAGAGTCTCTGTCATTCCACATTTTCTCTAAACCTTGATGTATCCTGGAGAATGTGCTTCTGGCACACCCACGTTCTGCCACAGTGGGGCTGCTGCTGCCGTGTGCTCGGCTGCTGCTGCTGCCTGCTTGAGAGGGACGCGCATGCATATGCAACTGTATACATTTATATTTTATGAGCACAGCAGCCAGGACTTTGAAACTTTGGAAATTATTGCAAATTGAACTGCATGCAAAACTTGTAAACAGTTGTAATATATGGACCCATAACAGACACATGTGTTGATGTATAGGTGAAAGCCAGCTTACGAACATTAATACCCAAAGAGCAGAAGTACATTGAAGAGGAAAACAGGCTCTCCAAACAGGTAAAAAAAAAATAACAAAGAAAGATTAATCCCTCTGGGAAGAACTGATTGATTCTCTATAACATTGGTGTAAATTCAAATAAACCCTAGAGGTTTGGTGGGGAGAAGTCCTTGCAAATTTAGTCACCTACATATTGAAAACGGCTGTTTTGTTTGTTTGTTTCTCCTTTCTTTTCCTGTCTTGCTTTCTTAAAACTATGAAGCAGAGGCAAAGCCAAACCCATAAATGAAATGGGGGTGGTAAGTGAGGAGAAGGTATGTGGCAAGTCCAGTATTCGATGGACATGTGGTCATGCACCAGCCAGAGAATGCTCATTTGGAATGTAAGCTACAATTTGATTGTCATGGCGCGTGTAAATGAGACCGCCAAATCCTGAGGCTCAAATATGTGCACAGACCACCCACAGGTATGATGCAGGTGTGCCGAGCGAATAAAGCACTCCCTCTAATCCAGCGAGGGGGTCTTTTAATTAGATGTTAACAACAATCAGAAGTGAAGTTTCATTGACATTTTCTACTAAAACAAGACAAAAACAAAAACAAAGCAGGAATTTTGTTCTTCCTTTTATGAAACTTCATACGTTCAGCTTGGCATTTATCAATAATAACTTAAAATTTACTTTAATATCAAGTTAAAAATTGCTGCCTACCCTTTTTTAATGTTTAATGCAGTATGCAAAGCTAAATACAATGTGTTTATTATGGCTATAAAGACACTGAGATTACTTTTACTATAAAATATTTGATAATTTTCTGTGCCATAAGAAACCTTAAAATACTTTTATTTTTAATTTATTAACTTGACCACAAAATTAGACTTTTGGCATTCAAACAGTGTACATTACACATGTGATACTTACCTAAATAGAAAACCATACTATATTTCTCTACAATTATAGATGAATATAATAAATATTGTTCTTTTAAAAGTGTGCTAGGAAACAAGAAGGGAAATATACAGGGAGACTCTGGCTGAACAAAATTCCAGTTTTCACATGCACATTCTTTACTGATGTGTACAGTTCTCATTTGAACTCAGTTAATTTTATGTATCTGTTTCTTTAAAATACCAGAATGACACTGAAATATATTTAGAATAATGATACCTTAACTTGTAGACATTGATTGCTTTATCCGTTTCTGTATGTGACTTTTTAAACCACTATCCAGTTCATGGACGTTCTTTTTACTGTTAATGTCATGCTATAGTTGTTTTAAACTTAATTTGCATCAGTTACCATGTAAACTTTTTCCTACTAAGAGATTTTAAAACATACTCTAAAATCATAGGAAAATAATGAGAAAACATAGGGTTTAATATGCAGTGAGGGTCGGTTAGAAGCCGGGAGCTGTGTGGGCAAGTGCTGGAACTAATAGGACTTTCATAACAAGCCACACATAACAAGGCAGGCTTCTCTCTGGGACTCTAAATCAAAACATTCCTAGGTATCCAATTCACTCTGCAGCGTATTGAAATAAAAACATTTAATTCATCTTAAAACAAAAGGAAGAGAGTTCAGAAGTATCAGGGGCCCACATTTTCTAAGCATCAGATGTTTTTCCTTATGGGCAAACATACCAGCTTTCATGGAAACATTATTTTTAAATGTATACTTATTCATCCCGTCCCGTTCTTTGCACTCTTTCTGCTAGTGTTTCCTTCCCTTCCCCTAGTGGGGTGTGTCTCAGTGGCCTCATTGCCCTTCTGGGTCCCTTCACAAGCGTGAAGAAGCAGACAGCATGTTTGGTTGTTGTCAGTCTGATGAACTCTATCATTTTCCTCACAGCTGCTCCTGAGGAACTTCATCAGAACCAAGCGTTGTGTCATGGTGCTGGTTAACGCTGCGTACTACGTTACCAGTTGCTTTGAGTGGGATTCACCCCCAAGGAGTCTCGCTGCTTTTGTGGTATGATCTCACTGTATCACCCATCCATTGCTATTCATCGCACTCAGCAGTCTTAGCTCCAAGGCTCTGTGGCTATAGTAACAGTTATGTTGATAGAGCCATTTTAAAACTCCTATTTTGAGACTTGACTGGACAGATTTGCTGTGGGCAGGAACCTGATGGATTGTTCAGGGTCTGAATCCAAGAATATATTCCTCAGATTTCCGGAACACAAGACATCTCAGCCAAAGTATAACTTTTTTCTGACACTTAAAAAGTAAAATTTTTGCATATTGTACAATTCCAGATCCCAATAGGAGAGCCAAAAACAGTTCTCTTTGTAAAAAAAATAATGTCAATGGTAACAGCCTTGACCACCAGCGCTTCGATTTTAGTCGGATTCCGTAAGTATCTTGTCAGGATAGGGACGCCACTGACAGTGTGATGCTGGCTGGTAAGGCTTTAATATGTTAGTCAAGCAGAAAGGGATGTGACCTATTTAAGAGATGTTCTGTGGTTTCTAGTTTTTAAAAAGTCACAAGTGAGAATGTAATCGACCCAAATATTCTCTTTACAAGGTTCATCGTGTTCCCTTTTACACTGATCATTTAAGAACTGATAGGAGGCCAACAGGCAGTGGCAGAAAAATCTCAAGGGCACTTCCCCTAGACACATCCAGGATCTTCTCCACGTGTGCTATGTCCGCTTGGACGCTGTTTTACTTGAGCTTTTTGTGGAGTCCATCTTTTGAAAGTCTTTATTTTATTTTATTTTGTGCTTGTTAGGAAATAAGCAACTTATGCTTCCCTTACATTGCTGGTTTTGCAAAATATGATGTTATCGTGGGGCTTACAGAATGACCTTTATTAGAGTGACAACCAACTCTAAGTATCGCCGTTCAAATGACTGTGTGTTTTGAGTTCTCCGACTCCGTCCTCTGTGCAGGCCTTGTGTGGGACTTCACTAAGGTCTGAGCACACGGACAAAGGCTGCATACGTCCCTTTGTGTTGCCAGAGAGTTAGCAGCCTGCTTCCCATAGACATGTGGTTGTCTCCTTAAAGAAAGTGACTGCCACCATCATTGTTAAAAAAAACTCCTCTCTCTACACTCTTCTAATACCTCTCACATAATAGGTATATTGGGGTATTCTGATTTTTCATTAGCATAGAGGCATTATGATGACAAGCAAAATGATAGAGAAATCCCACATATACTTTAAATCATTACTCTCAGGTTCTATGAGGCCTTATAATAACAATAAAAAATCCCTCCTGCCATTTTGACTGACTTCCTTTAGAGCCATCTCCACAGCTGTTTGTGAAATTTGAAAACATAAAAATGTATATAATTATATCATTTATTCAGGAACACTCATTGTGGGTTGTTTGGCACTACATGTTGTGTGAGTCTCCAAATTTCTTCCAGCTTCCTAAGGTCATTTGTAAAGTTGATTCAAGATGGCAGTCCTTTTCACAAACTCCTTTTGCTTCTTAAAAAAGAAAGGAAGCAAGTGAAACTCTCAGAAACAGAGGTACCTGCATGTAATCTCACGTACAGCGACATCACTAAAAGGAAGCAAAGCACTGCAGGAAAGGCTGAATCTACCTTAGCCGGTAACCTGTTTGTGACAGACTCAGTCCTAGGAAACTCAAGCTGAAGGCAAGGGGCGTGTCCAGAAAAGACACCTGGATGATAAAGGAGGGAAACCGGGCTGAAAACAAGGATGGAACAGGAGAGCACGCGACACGATGTGAAGAAACAATTCCCCTGGACAAAAGAAAAAGTAATTTCACTTTATTGAATGTGATTGAAGTAATGAATCTCAAACTTGCTTTGTTTAGACTCCAACTGGGAGTCCATGGGGATGAGAACTCGGCTGTCTTCATGCAATTTGCCCATCAACTGAAGAGGATCTAGCAGTTAGTGAGCTCCCAGTAAAAATGGTCAACTACATCTTTTGAATGAGGCTGCCAATCTGAAATTTTTTCTTATAGGGAGAAACTCCAAATAAATAAGAGTTTGCTATAATAAATCTGATTATTAAACCATGATAAGGACATGTTAATACTATCAAAGCAATTTTCCCTATATTTCTATATGAGCCCAAAAGTCTGCTAAAATTTCTTATCAATAATCTACTTAATCATGAATTGAATTCTGATATAAAAGATTCACACAAACAATAATTAATGTTTATCAGGTAATTCCTGTATGCCAAGGAGCTATTGGTCATACATAAATTCATGAAAATGCACTAAGAATTTAATATTTTCAGTAACTTCATAATGTAGATTCTATTATTTTCCTAGCATATAGATGAAGAAACTTAGACTCATAACACACAGGATAGTCTTTTCTATAGAAGCCTTTAAGATATACACCTTATAATTGTAATATAATTCAGAAAAAAACTTTGTGAGAGATTCTAGCCATCTTATACAGAGAGAGTAAATGAGGTACTTAAAAATGAAATGGTGCGAAGTTACCATTGCATAAGCAGAGCCTTATTAGGGCAATTTGTTGAAAAGAACCGATTTCCATTAGATGCACATAAGCAGTGCCCATTGTTACAGACATATTGTTCCCATCATGCCCTCTTGACAGATCATGGGTCTATTATTATAATATTGGTTCCATTTGGCCCATTTTTTCCTAACTGCAGCTGCCTCATGGAGGACATGCATTTGTACCATTATGTGGCTTAGTTTTAGGCCCAGATCAGTATGCTTTTTAATGTTTAAATGAATATGAATTTTTTTCTATTCCACTTTGGTTTTCTCTTCTAATTCAATTCCCTGAAAAACAAATGCAAAATACTGAGGTCAAACTGAAAGAAAATAATCATACTTTGCATCTCATTGTCAGCGAATGTGCAAATGCAGACTGCAGCCACAGCCTCCCAACACTACCTGAACTGCAGGCAATAGAGACAGACACCGTATCAGTGGGGATGGCAAAGCAAAGCTAACAGGCTTCTGAGAGGTCCTTGTTGCTGACTGCTGAGTTCAGTTTTTAAGTTTCGTGACTTATTTTTCTAAGGTAGCTCTGTTGTGTGTGGTGTAGGAGGCCCTGCTTGTTCCTGGGAATCAGCTATTGCAGACTTGGAAATATCTTACAAATTGAACTAATTTTCATCAAGCTCTTGACCAGACATTTGTGTTCTTGTGGAAGCCAGTGGGTACAAAATGGAAAGAGAAAAGAAGAGCGAGAGAGCATGCATCCTGTCTTCTCAGCACTGTCATTTCTCACTGTAATGAGCACAAAAATAATTGGAAAACTGGGCTATCAGCAAAAGGACACACTTCAGTGTGCGTCAGAGAACTATTTTACAGGACCAACTTTAATCTTTAAATGCGATTGTAGATCATTTGTGGTACCATCTGTCCATTTGGAATTGTTTTAGCCTTTTCTGTCGTTATACAGTAAGTGCTGCTGTGTTTAACATTACCATTTGATATTTTACACATTTAATTTCTGTTCTGCTGTGAGGTCCTTGGGGAATGAAACCCTAGTGCTACATGAGAGAGACAAAGTATTGATCAGTTAACATTTCAGCTACATTTATGTATGTCGCAAAATTAATGAAAATGCCAGACAAAAAATGTCAGCATGCACAAAGAGTTAGAATTTAAATTTGATACTTGAATGAAAAGTCTTAAGATGTGCATTATCAAAAACGTCCTCTGAGCAGAAGCTCAGAATAACTAACAGGAAACACATATTTTACTTAGAGGAACAATGAGCATGAATTATGACAAGATAGCAGCTCCTCATCGCACCCTGTATAACAAAATGGCATGTTTGAATGCATAACTGGTAGCCATGAAATATATTTGTTTCTGTTCGTATCTGAGAGCTATTGTCTCTGTCTCTCTGTATTTCTGTGTGTTTCTCCCTATCTGTCTGTCTCTGTGTGCCTCTCTCTGCCTCTCTCTGTTTCTCTGTCTCTGTATCTCTGTGTGTGTCTCTGTCTTTATCTGTCTCTGTGTGGGGGGGGTGAACAGAATTCTGTCTATGGTAACTCATTGAAGACACAGGATTATTATTCATCCCTTTCTGGGCATTTTCAATTGCCTGCTTTCCTTTGCTCTGGACAATTTGTGTTCCCTCTTCTTTACAAAAGTCCCCATTTTTGTAAAGGATCACACTGGAACCACAGGGGTTTTTTTTTTCAGAAAAGCTGGGCCACTGTGGAAGTAGAGAGAACAAACAGGGATGATACGTGCGTAGATTGACATGTGGGAGGTATGTGTAGGCAAATGTTCAAAATTAAAAGTAAAGTGAAGAAACCACCGGCAAAAAGGAGGACCTGCCCTTGGGAGGCGATGGGAATAAAAGGCAGTGTCCTGAAGACAGAGGCAGCCAGCATGCTTTAATGTGTGCTTCCTGGATAGGAAGTCTGCTGCTGTCGAACAACTTAAAGATTTCTCTAACAAGTATTACAAGCTATAACAACATTGTAAGTGGCTTTCATGATTAAGGACTGAAAAGGCCATGTTACTCAAGGAGAAATACCAATGTGAAAACGACGGCTTCTCTGCAAGTCTGAGCATACATAGTGGATGTATGATATAGGGTAATTATGCTGGATCTAGTGAAAAGCAGAAATTTCCATTTGGAGAATTTAATAGACTCCAGTAACACCACATCAATGAAATTATGGCAATTTTCAAATTATTTTTATAGGAACATTTTTGTTGCTACAATTATTTTCTTAGAGCTAACAAAAAAAAATGGAATTGTTCCAGGCCCAAATTCTGTTACTTTTTCCCACAGAAACAAAATTGAAGAAGACCTGAAAATCTAAAGAAATAAGCACCAATGAAACACGATGTACTACTAACAGTGTTGTCTGTGTGTTCATGAATTTTTCTTAAATTATATATCAAAATTTCCAATCCCTTCACCAACCAGTCATAACACATGCTTTCCTGTTCAGTAAACTTACATAATTTAGAAAACAATACCTACAATTTATATAAATTTTAAGTTACATTTAACTTACCTTCACTACGGAAGG